TTTACCCAAATAAATAAATAAATAATGGACCAGTGGCTAATATCCCATTCTTGGGCAAGGTGCTCAGGTGGGTGGTGGCCAGACAATTCCAGGCTCTCTGGGAGGAATCTGGAACCTGGATTCAATTCAATCCAGTTTCAAGCCCAGTTTTGGGACTGCTTGGTTACCTGACGGGATGCCCTTTCCCTGTGTGTGTGTGTGTGTGTGTGAGAGAGGGAGGGATGGAGGGAGGCGGGGGGGTGGCCCCACCCAGTCCCCTTCCAGGCTCACCTGTTGCTGGCAACAGGTTCCCCCCACCCAACCTGGCTTCCACGCTGGACCTAGACAGAAATCTGGATCCCGATGCTGCGCTCAGGGCACTGGGGAGCTGGAACAGGGTCCGTGGGGAGCCACCAAGAAGGAGCGAGCCCTGGAGACCAAGCTCGACCTGGAAGTGCCGAAGATGCTGGCCAGAGAGACCGGTGGCTCTCACGTCCGCAGGGCCGGGCCTCAGGCGGTGCAGGTCCAGGTCTGAGCAGGGCAGGAGCTGCCTGTGGTGCTCAGCCACCCCTGCCCCCTTCCCAGGAAGGCTGGATCAGAGGCTGGCGTGGGCCCTGCCGGGAAGGGCGAGCAGCCGGTTCTCACGTCAGCAAGCCCATCGGAGCCCCTTCGGCTCCTAGGATTCTATGAAAGGGGAGTCCTGGGGCTGGAAGGACGGAGGACAAAGGGCATGATCCGCCCAGAGTCGAACACTCCTAGCAACCCGATCCTCACGCAAGGAGTAAGCCCCGCTTTGTTCAATGGCACGGCCCCTGCGTATTCTTCAATCTACTCACCCTTCTATGCACGGGTGTGAAAGCCAGACAGGGGAGAAAGCTGAGAGGAGACAGTGAATTAGTGTGAAATACTGAGCAGGAGGAGAGCTTTGCAAATCCCCTGGACTGACAGAGAGGTGAGCCAGGGGGTCCTGGCTTAAATCAAGGCAGAGCTTTCCCTGGAGCAAAAATGACCGCACTGAGGTTGCCGTACTTCAGACACATCATGAGATGGCAGGACTGCCTGGAGAAGGCAAGCATGCTCGGGAAAGCTGAAGGCAGGAGAAGAAGGGAGTCCAGGCGCGAGACGGATCTGCTCCACCAAGGGAGCCACAGCCTTGGACTTGGAAGAGCTGAGCAGGGCCGCCAAGGCTGGAGCGGTCTCCTTCGTAGGGATGCCAGCAGCTGCATGGCACATCACAGCCAATGTCTTCGGATCGCAAGCCGAGGCCCTTCTTCATGTCGTCCCTCCATCTGTAGTGCGCAAGTTAACCTGACGAAGTAAATACATACGGCCCATTGACTTCTATGGGGCTTATTATCAGGTAAGCAGGTATAGAGGTCACGCTGTTGTCAACCTGTGGAGTCAGCGGGACTTAAAAGTTCTTAACTTTGACTTGCTTATGCCTTATGACAGCCTTTTCCAAACTGGGTCTGGATTGCAACTCCCACCATCCTTGCCCAGGTAGGTAGGGATGATGGGTGGTGCAGTCCACAACATCCCGAACTGCCATACCAGAGGCGGCTTTGTAATTGTAGTATTTCTCAGAAATCTCCGATACACACACGCCAGAATGTTTGGGTTTTTTAAGACTTTATTGAATAGTGAGTAAGCGACAGCTGCCCTTTGTTTGATCCAATACAGGCAATGTTAAAAACATCAATAGCTGGTGCTTTAGCGTTTCTCTTGCAGGAGCCAAAAAACAGCAGTTTAAAAATTCTTCAGTGGAAGCAGGAATAGAAATGCTGTCCAGTCATTCTCTATTCTGTAGCCCCTCCATGTGGTTGCTGCTAAAACTGTATGTAGAAAGGAATGTATATTGCTCAGATCGCTATTTCGCTAAGAAAAGGAGCAAAGCTGGTTTCAGAAAAAGCTATGTACAGTGCATCATGAAACAGAAAAATGCAAAAGACAAAAACATTTTTAAAATTTAAGAAATATATATATATAATGAAAGACATTTTAAATACATTGACATTCTAGAAATAAATTCTCTATATTTTATATATTTATTATTTATAGAAACAATAAAAGGTCATTTTCTATCATCCAGAATCACAGAAACCTATCTGAAATCCGTTGACGAAGCGGACCATCTAAGACGTACAGTGCATGCCTACTCAGGAGTAACGGGACTCCACCGGCATCGCCCACTTGGACACGGTCCTGTGTAAAATCTTTTGCACACGAGAACTTCCTGGTGGGTTGTCTCCACTGGATAATCCGATCATTTGGGCACTCGGTTCATGTTCAGTGAGGAATTTGGAGGCAAAAGGTTGTAGGTGTGGAAGAGTCACTCTGGGCTTGGGGTCGTTTTTATTTCTTTTAAAATGCTCTGAGTGTTTACTTTGGAGTTGCCCAGGGATACCTGCAAGGCACTTTGGGGGTGGGGGGGAGAAATGCATGTGTGGAGGCAGCTTGAGAGGGCTGCACTTACGGGCAGGGGAAGGCTGGACTGGATGGCCTCCAGGGTCCTTCCTGAGGCTTTGTTTCTAAGACTGGGCTTTGGCCAGGCAAGGTTACCTTAACATCTCTTGCAAAACAGAGGAGGTGCTTTGCCAAGAAGCCCAGGTGAGGGGGGCAGGTGACCCATGATTATTCTGGGCGGCACACCTGCACCTCCTGGGAGAAAAGGGAGCACGTGCCGTGCTGAAAAAGATGACAGAGGTTTGCATCGAATTGGGACGTGTGGAGCCTGAAGTGCCTGACCCTGCCTAATCTTGGAAGCTAAGCAGGGTCAGGCCTGGGCGGAAGCGGGATGGGCGACTTGAGGGTATGATTCTATGATTATTGCTGTCAACTGCCTAGAGAGCTTTGGCTATGGGCAGTATAAAAATGTAGTAATAATAATAATAATAATTTATAGGTAGAGATGCACACATATACCTATTTACTGGAATTTGTTTTTAATAGAAGACAAGCCATCTAGTTCCACATCCAAAGCACCGCCCAAGTGCTACCTTTTGGCAAAGCCTTCCCGCTGTTTTGGGGTGCACATCGTCGGGGGGGGGGCATCCTCAGGGTTCCAGCTTCCAGTGTACATTGATAGAAATGAGATGCATCAATGGAAGAAAACCTCTTGAGGTCCCCCCCCCCCGCCAAAAGCTTCTCCAAGGTCAAGGGCTTTCCCACGAGGTTCCTTTACTGAGCTCCCTGCATTCTTTGCCGGGCTGCCACTGGCTCCTGGGCATGAGGTCCCCTCCGTCCCACCCGTGTTTTCCCCTCTGAGGGCCTCGCCTTGCTTTCCTAGACGCTCCATCACAAAAGCACGAGGTGGGGGCTGCAGCTCAGCAGGACTGTGAAAATGCATGAGCTCTGCATGCCAGTTCAGCCCACCATTTCCAAAGGTCGCTCTGAAAAAGAAGCTGCAGAATTGCTTGGAAAGCACGAGAGACCCTAGATGCAGACCATGTCATGCAGAGTCTGGTGTGGCAGTCCATGCACTGGATTGGGGGTGGGGGTGAAGGTTCCATGCTCCCCGAAGCCATGAAATTCACGGGGTGCCTTTGGGCCAGTCTCTGACTCCATACAGCACACCTCTTTCCTGGAAGGAACCCAGGGCAGCTTACATAACCCCCCCGCCTCCTTTCAATCTGGTCCTCACAACAACCCTGTGAGGTAGGTCAGGCTGAGAGGCAGTGCCCCACGGACACCCAGCGAGCTTCATGCCCAAGTGGGGACTAGGGCCTTGCAAGGGCGTAAGACCTACCTGGAAACTAAAAGCCAGCAGGACGGAGCCCTCTTCCCACCCCTCCTCTCCATAGGGAGGGAGCAGCCAAGGCCCGAGTGGAAGTGGGGATGAAAGGGGGACTGGCAGACGGCAGCTCTGACTCAGGAGCAGACCGGGCTCCGGAATGCGAGCCACCTCTTGCGAGATCTGCTGCCGGGAGAGCGGCCCTTCTGTTGGGGTCGTGAAGCTGCGCTTCTGCCTCCGTCCTGCATGTGCTTGTGCAAAGAAGCCAGCTATGGCAAGGCCTCGCTGAGCTCCAGCAGCTTTCCCTGTGAAAGGAACTGGCTCTGGGAAGCCCCGCACCCTGCCCCATTGCACTGCTCAGGGGACCGTGGCACAAGCCGCCCCCCCACCCCCCGGACGACCTGGCAAGCCGGCAGGCAGCTCGGCAGAAGCAGGGCGACGGTGCAGCATCCCTCGGCACAGATCGAGGATGCAGGAGAGCCCAGGAGGTGCTTCGGCTTCTCCTCTGCTGAAGAAGGCTCTTGACTTGATTGGCTCCAGCGGAAGAGCCAGGCTGGTTGCCGGCGGCTGCTCCACTCCTGCCCATCCTTGTCTGCAGTGAGCAAGACCTTGGGTGCCCGCTGGTTCCCCGGCAGGTGCTGCCCCCATTCTGGCAGACAACCTGTTCTGCTCCAAGGTGAAGGATACGGTCTGGCAGAGGAATCTGTGCTAGCTAATATAAACTCGTGAGGTGCCACTTCTGAGTCATTCTGCAGGGAGAAAGGTTGCCTTGGGATTGGGAGACACTGCATTTTCCAGCCCTTGCTGAGCTCGGGGAGCATCCCGCTGCCTCTGGATTGATAGTTTTGCCAACCTCCTCATGTCTGCGCACCCCTGGGGCCCCACAGTCTCTGTGCTTCCCGGTCTCTTCTTACAGCGGCTCTGTTTCAATCCAGGAAGGCTCGTCATGCAGAGCCATATTGTTTCCTTTGAAGTTGTCCTCTTGTGCAATTTCGGGAGCCTTCCAACAAATAGGGGCCGGGGGGGGGGGGAATCTTGCATGTGGGGGGGATGCTTCCAATTCTCATCTGTAAAAAGGGGATGCGTGTAACAAGCTATAAATGATCCCTTGTCTCTGTTTCTTTGTCTGAGCATGGTGGAAAGAAGGCCAAGAAGAATTGTGCAATAGGATTTGGATGAAAAGGGCGGGTGGGGGGGCAGATAGAAAAGCTGTGGAACAAACTTCGCTGCAGCGGAGAGGTGCTTCTGTCCACGACAGTGCCCCCTGCCGGCCCCCCCACTCGGTAGCCAATTAAGTGACCATCTGGGAATTCGGTTTTTTCTTCTTCTTTTGCTTCTTCCCGCGTTTCTCCTTCCTTTTGTTTTCGTTCTTCTCTGCAAGACAAAAGCAACATCGGGTTACTGGAAGGGTCTGTTCTGCTCCGCCATGTGTTGGATTATCACAGCCCTCGTTCCAGCAGAAGTGATAGGACTCGCAGTCCAGCACATCTGGAGGCCACTGGGTTGGCGGGGCTGCCCTGGGCAAAGGCGGAATGAGGCCGTTCCTCCACCGGAGGAGCAAGCCAGAACTACCCACACAGCTTCATTTCGAAGACTGCCATGAACCACCCCGAGCCAAACCCAGAATATTTCTGTTTTCCACTGTCTTTTCATCAGCTGCTTGGCATTTTTGCTCTGCTGGGTCAAGGACTTCCCTCTGCTTGTCCTTGGGAGCTCCCGAGACTTGGAATAACAAGCAGCGCTCTGGTGTTTCTTTTGCTGCTGGCAAAAGCTCTGAGTTTTGCTCAGAGAGGTAAAAGAGCAAATTAACTTCCAGTTTTCACATGATTTGGATGGCGGCTGTTTGGAAGACTCTCCCACACTGTGCTGCCTCGTGCGGGAAAAGCTGGGATGCAGACACCGTTCCGAACACATCGATCAGTCTCACGCTGATCCATACATGGCCGCTCACCAAAATTTGGAAGACACCAGGTGTTTCCTCCAACTGACACTGCCAGGGCCCTCGGCCTGCTCTCTCTGGCCAGACACCTGCGAATCCTGAACTGGAAAAGCTGCAGACGAAACGGGGGGCCTTTCCCAGAGAAAGCCTGTGCTTGGCAGGTGTTTAGCAGGGATTCCAGGGCCAAATTTACTTCGGACCCTTCGTGTGGCAACTGGCAGGACACTGAAGCGGGTACAATTTTGCACGCAGGCATTCCACGTGACAGGGTCCCATAACCGCACCCCAGAGAGGTCAACCTGCACGCATGAGAGTGCACCACGCCAGCCAGCCAACCAACCGATTCTAGCAGCACCAACTTTTGCCAGGAGCAGGTCCAAACCTAGCCATCCAAGACCAGCCCAGGGAAATACTTTGCACGACGGCCGAGAATGCTTTTTTTGTGGCTGGAAACGGTGCGGTCCCTCTCCCGGAGGGATGTGTGAAGGATCTGTGTGGGGGGTGAGAATCCATCGGATTCCCCGGGCTCCGCTTTCCAGACCCTGGTCCGCATTGTCATGGCCTTGGGTCCGAGTTCGTGCCGAGCACACCCAGCGTCCGCACGACCCTCGCCAGGAACTGGGCCCCATGTGGAGGCTGTACAAGCAGTGCCTTTGTGTGAGCCGCACGTGACACGGAAGAAGGTTGCCAGGGCAGGTGCTTCGTTCCGCAGCCCTGGGCAGACTTGGCCCGCTTTGTCAGGCCGAGTCGAGCGCGAGTGGAAGTCCGTGAATGCCAGAGGGACACTTCGGCGGAGCCCCGTCGCACCCCGACCCCCTTCCAACCTCCGAGAGAATTGCAGCCGAGTTCAGACGGATCAAAGGCGTCGTGGGGGCGGCAGAGAATCGCCGCCCCCTTGCTAATGCGAACCACGCGTCCTCGCGAGTCGCGCTTCTGCTGAAACGCTGGTGGAAGTGCAGGGACGTGGGGTGCACAGGGGTCGCCCAACCTACTCCTCATGCAGGCACGCACATGCCCGCGCACGTGCGCACACACGCTGCTGTTAGGATGGCCTTCTGCAAGCCGCCCTCAGCAAGGCACTGTCCCGGGGACACCCCCAGCCGGCCACAATGGCAGGGGCAGGGGGCAGGCAGTCACCCCTGGGCAGGTCTGCATGCAGCTGCGTTTCTGCACGCAAGGCCAGGCCGTCCCCCCCCCCCCCCCCCCCCCCGGCACTGCACGCTTGAAGGGCCAGCCGGGAATGTCGAAGCAACAGCGCTGCCCTGTGTCTCTGGCCCCGGCCCCCCCGCCCCCCGCCCCTCACCTCCGGGGCAGTGCTTCTTCATGCGGCATTTCCTGGACTCGGAAAGCCCCGGGCACGCCGCTGCGTCCTCCTTGCTGCTCCCGACGACCTCGCGGACCCTCGTGGCCGAGCCCCACCTGGAGCCGCACGTCCGGCCCTGGTTGGTGCAGGGCCCCCAGTCGCCCCAGGGGCCCATCTCACACTTTTCTGCGTAGGGCGAGAGAAGCAGAGAAACCCTCCATCAGGGCCGGGAAGGCGCCTCCTCCAGGCCAGGCGCTTGGTCTGCCCAGCTCAGCAGGAGTGGCTAATTACTGCAAGTGGCCTGTGTTAATTAGCTCCTTTCACTGTCAACTGAAGGGGCCAGGGGTCAGGGACCTGGGCACAGATGAAAACCTGCAGGTGCCAACGGGCACATGTGAGCGCAAGGGCGTGCATCTGCCTACACACATGCAAGTGTGCAATGGCCAGGGTGTTTTACATTCCACCAGTGTTAGCAAAAACAGCACTATAAAGAGTGTCTCTGAGCATATGCAGATGTTCTCCTGCCCGCCCCTTTCCAACACACTTGACAGATATTTCCCCCCACACAATTCTTGCTGCAGAACCATTTCCAGAGACTAAGCCCTGAGCACATGTGCTGCGTAGAAACTGCGCCCAGATCCCATCCCGTACCTTCTGTTTCCCCTCACACAACAATCCCGCTTCATTTTCCCGTCCTCCAGCAACTGGTCCTAAAATCAGACGCTTTCCTTTGTTTTCTGTAGCTCTGCTCTACCTCTTCCTCATTATGTGCAAGAGCTCCTTGTCTCTTCCTCCCTGTAACTTAATTTATGCCAAGACTTCACCAGAATTCAGCCAAGGAGTCTGGTTTTAATACGAAGAACAAAAGATAAGGCCTGGCTGAGAGCGAACTCCGTTGAAGCCCTGCTTCCCAGCCCCTCAAGAGCAGAAGGGGAAGATGCGAAGAGTCACCCTGGACCAGAACCCGAATCCATCAAGCCTGGAATTCTGCTCACACAACAGCCAAGGAGAACCCGCTGCCTGGGGGGACCCGCAAGCAGGCCACAAGTGCAGCGCACCTAACTTATTAAGGTCCCGTTATGGGGAAAGTGCCTCTGAGCATATACCGACTGCCTTTCCCACGCCACTGAAGCCAGTACATATATCAAAAAGGGCAGGGCGAGCCCAAATGCTGAAGCAAGGGCAGGCTGTGGGAGAACTGGGGTCATGGAATGGCACGGGGTGCCGCTGACTGGGTTCGCAACTGGGATGGACTGGGAACTGAAGCAAGCACCAGAAGGAATTTTACCACTGAACTACAAGTCTGCTCCTAACAGGGGGAAGCACAGCACAGAAGCATCCCCCACCTGCAGGGGGCGACTGCCATGCCCCCTACAGGAGGCCTGAAGCCACAGATCGCAGCGAACACTATACAGTCGGCCTTCCCCACCCGTGTGGTTAGGGGCACAGGACCCCCACCGAAGTGGGAAAACCACGAATATCTCTACCCCCCACAACCTTAACTCTTAATACCGTTGACCACACCCATCCTGGGAGCTGCATTACAATGAGCTCTTTTGCAATTTGAACAACCCTTAGCGCAAACAAGACCCATGTGCCACAGCATGCGCTGCCCCAGGGGAACTTATCCCGCGTCGCGTTGCATCACGGGCTTCCTGCGTGGTCACACGCCCGGCCTGAGTCCGGGGCCTGCCCTGCCCTCATGAGCAGGCGTCGTGCCGCTCCAAGCCAGCCACGACCGCGGCCAGGAAGGCGAGGAGGCGAGGGCAGCGGGCCCCAGTGGGACGCCAAATTCCACCCCACACGCGTTTCTGGACTCCAGTCAACCTTGATTAAGTGCCACTATGCTGACTGAAGCACTGGATGCTGGGGTTTTACTGTAATTCATGCTTCCGATGGCTACGGGGGGATTAATTGGTTTCACGCGAACTGAAATTCAGTTTTCCTTCAAAATGTGCTCTTCTCCACATTTTACAAGAGTCCTCCAGTCAAAAACTCCTTGCAAAAACATATGTATTAGGGATAGGTATGTGCAAAAAAACAAAAGAGCATGCTCATTAAAATGCTTTTCAAAAATGAGGGATATTTTGAAAACAAGCCAAAACATGGGCATTAGGCAAGATCAGGTAGAAAGTAATGTGTCAGGAAAAAATGTACACAAGAATTGCATAGGTATCTTCATGCGTTTGTTTATTTTTTCTGTAGTCCCACTGTTTGGGGTGAACTAAACTTAAGAAGGGGGAAAGATGAGAAAAGGAGAACAGTGGAAATTGAGGGATGGGTCCATCCATTCATGCAATGGGTGGATCTGGCCAGTTGAGAGTCTGTGACTGGCCCAAAGTCACCCAGTGGTGCCCATGGCTGAGCAGGGACTAGAACCCGGGTCACGTGAGTCCCAGGCTCGCGCCCTTGACCACTATGCCGCCTCGGCTCCCTCTGCCTTAACCAGAGCATGTACCCTGGGTGGATCCAGCACGTGCGTCGATATCGCACACGTCACATCACGACTGGCTTGGGCTGCGGCACCTGCTCGGACGAATCCCCCTTCCCCGCGGCTGCTCCCCAGGGACGGGACTCCCACGCAGCCTTCGTGGGGCTCACCCCGCCGCCCGCCCCCCGCGAGGAACGGAGGCCCGCCCGGCTCACCCAGGCACTCCCGGGTCCCGTGCTGAGCCGTGGTGCTGGGAGGACAGGCGCCAAGGCACTTCCCCTTGTGCAGGTAGAACCGCTCCTTGCACTTCATGCAGAAATCTTTGCTGAAGCAGCTGTCACAGCTGGGCGACTTGCACTCTGCAAGAGAGAGGGAGACGACGGTCAAGGGCAGAAAAGAAAATGCGGACGGCAGCACTCGCATGGCTAAAGGTTGATCGATCCATCGGCCGCTTGATTTATGGGCAGGGAGGATCACCAAGCAAGTTAGATCTTCTGGTTTCCCCCCTCCCCTTCAGCTCCCAATGGATTTCAGCAGTCCGGTTTCCAGAACAGCAGAGCAGCTCACTTGCTCTTTTCAAAAAAGAAAAAGAGAACAGAGAACAGGGAAAAGGAAAGCAAACTACCAGGCTGGGCTACTTTTTGGCTGTCTAGAATTTCATCCTTCTCTTCTCCCCCCTCACAGGCGTGTGATCAGAACAACTCTGTCCATTTCAGTTTCTCACTTCTTCATTCTTGAATTTGATTCATCCTGAACATGGTTTGTTGTCGCTATTTTAGAAATTGCTTGGAATCCTCTATGCACTCTGTGTGCGCATTTCTCCTAGGCCATGCATTTCTGCATGCAGCTCAGCCTAACGCATCCTTTTCGCAAGCATTTTTCCATATACAATGCAATTTAATTCTATTATCTTGATTCCATGTCTTTTGTCTGCACACTCCCCTAATGGAGGTATTTCTGGGTTACAGAACCCCCACTGCGAAGTTTGGAAAAGTGAAAACTTGACGAACTGAGCTTCATTCAAATGTGTAAAATTAAGCAATTTCACATGACCTCCAAGATCATCTAGTCTAAGCAGGAAACGGCTCCAGCATCCCGGACAGGTGACCAACCAGAAGGTTTGGCTGTGTTTTCAGCTGGAACCTGCCCCAACCCTGGCAGCCAAGTCACACCACGGAACATACACCCGTTGCGCCACCTACTAATGCATCGGTTGACCTCTTGGCCTCGCACCCCGAAGTAGCCTGGGGGGCAGGCGTGGACACAGGCCCCGTTCTGGCGAATCCCATCTCTCCAGATGAGCAGGAAAAGCCGCTGTTGACAGGAGATGCATCCATTTTCCTCCGAGCACATGACACATCCCGTGCAGTTCTCGAACAACGCAGCACTTACTGGGTGGGGGAGAAAGAGGACAAGTCTCAGCATCACGCAAGGGAACCGTCGCGAGGCTCAGTTTGGAGGAGGCGGTCGGCACTGCACTGAATCCCAAGAGAGGCCCCGTCCCGTAAGGAAGCCGGAATTGCACCCGTCACTCTATTTGACAAAGGAGGGGGAATAAATTCGCCCCTCCTCGTCCACATTGCCCAAAGGGGGAAATGCAAGGCTGAAAGTGACATGGCCTTGCATAAAATTTGCAAAGGCCAATGTACAGGTCTCAGGGCAGTTTTAGAGCGCATGGCAAGCATGTAAAGAGACACAAGGCATCACCCCAGAGTGGGGAGGAGGGTGGCCTGGGTGCCTTCTGCCCATAGCGTGTCTGTGGGTCCTTTTTTGCAGAGGAACCCACTGGAGGAGGCCTGCTGGGTGTCCATCAAGCACCCCTAGACACCCCTTAGGGGTCACCCGGCCACACTCTCCCACACAGTGGTGAGATGCTCTTTCGGTTTCTAAATGAGCAAGCATCTTGCCAACCGTTCTTCTCTCTCCTTCTCGCTTTGGGGACACCTGTCTTCCCTGCAGGCGGTTCACAGGTGGCGATCGCAGGGACTGCCCAGGTGCCACTCGCTGCTGCCCAGTGACCCCCAGGCCCCCGTTTCCCTTCTGGAGGTCACTGACCTTTTAAGTGGACTTGGACCAAATGGAGGGCTGTCTTCTGACAGCCCTTGAAGTGGAGGAAAGCAGGGCACTGGCACCACTCCCCACCTTGACTCCAGACCCCTTTAAAGGGCTGCGCGCACACACACGGCCCTGGAGGTGCCATTCCTGGGGCAAAACACACCAGGCCCCGTCATGCATGCGGAGGCAGCGTGCTGTTTCGCCGAACTGCCTCACAGATGAACCAGCCCATGCCTGAGCGTTCAGAAGACGAGCTGAACATGGCACACTCCCTGGAAAAAGTGATTTTGTTTTTACATCCACGTTTAAAGAGAAAAGCATGGGGGGGGGAGGCTTGCATAATCACCCCTGAGGAGAAATTTGTGGTGAAGTTCTAGGGGAAAAATTAGCACACCAAAGACTGAATAACACAACCGTCTAGGAATAGGCAGTTGTTGTGGTGGTGTAGCTGTCAAATTGTCTCTGACTTATGGCAACCCTACGAATGAGCGCCCTCCAGAATGTTCCGCCTTGGACGGCCCAGCTCAGCTCTCGCAAACGCCAGGCGGTGGCTTCCTTTATGGATCCCTTCCATCCCATGCTCGGGCTTCGCTTGCATCTCCCGCCTTCGACTTTCCCCAGCAAACGGGCCTCTCCGCGGAGTCTTGCCTTCCCGTGCTGTCTCCGGCGTAGGACAGCCACGGTTTTCCTTCCGGGGATAGTTCTGGCTTGATCTGCTCCAGGACCTGCTTTTTGCCTTTCTGTTGTCCAGGGGGGTTAATACGGTGTTAAATACGTGTCCGGAGGGAACAGTCGTGCCCCCTGGACATCACCTGTGGGAACACGGCAGAGCTGGGATTCTACTCCAAGGCCAGAGGCTGCTCCAGCCCTCGGCCGCTCTCAGCTGGTTTGCGGAGAACTGAGCCAGCAGAGAGGTAGTTTAAGCAGGGAGAGGGTAACTGGGTGGTTGAGGGGAGGATGCTGGGGAGGGCAGGCTATAGGGGACCTTGACGTCCCGCCTGCTGGGACGGCCCTGAACGTCTGGAAATGGCTGTCCCGCAGAACTGCCAACGCTCTGTGCGGGACGTGCGGGGCCACGAAGCCACGAGTGGTGGCGTCTCCGTCGGGAGAGGTGCACCAGCCTGCGCTTGTCTCAGCCCCGCTCTGTTTGCCAAGCAGCCGACGAGGGGAGCCCTTTGGCGGGATCTGCGCATGCAGGCACGTGCCGCACACGTCGCAAGCTGCCTGGGACGTGGGGCGTGTTGCCCCGATCCTGCAGGTGGCTTGGCTAGCGGCCCGGTTAGCTCTCTCCTCCGTGAATCGGTCCAGTAGCCCAACCTGGCGGGTGGGTGAAGGCCGATGCATGAGGAAGCTCTTCGGTTCGTCCGTCCTGAACCGTGCCTTGCTCGGCGGCCTCCCGCGATGACCCCAGGAAGCCGTCTAATGTGCAGAACAGGGGCTCGCAGCATGACAGCGCACCTCAGTGAAGCGAGGAGAACTTACGCACCAGACATCGTAACTTTTCTTCCTCAGCAAATCACCCCAGCCCCTTCTGTGCCTTCTCGGGTTAAATCCGTCCCAAGCCAAGTCCTGGGCATGCCCCGGTACGCACCCTTTGCCAGTCTGGGGCTGCTGGAAATCAACAAGTGCTACTTATATGTCTAGATGGCAAGCGCTTTGGGGCAGAGGCCAGACCTCCCGTTTGTGCGGGAAAACAAAGATGGCCTGGTTAAACAAGAGCCAGTCTGGTGTTGGGGTTGAGAGTGTGCACCGGGGACCCAAGAGATCTGGGTTCGAGTCCCTGCTCAGCCATGGAGCCAACTGAGTGACCTTGGGCCAGTCACAGACTCTCAGCCCAACCTACCTGACAGGGTTGTTGTTGTGAGGATAAGATTGAGAAGAAGAGAATTATGTAAGTTGCCTTGAGTTCCTTAAAGGAAAAAAAGGATGTCAAAACAATACAGGCAGGATTCAATTAGAGGACTAGAGAAGTTTTCCAGTCTGAAAGTGGAAAGGCTTCGGGTTTCTAAAGAGACCACATGCATTCTGAAAATCCCCACGCAATGCTGCTAGTCAGGGATCGGTTCGGGCTTTTTCGGGCAACAGGCAGGCAGTTGTCCCTCCCCTGCTCAGTCTGCGCGAGAAGACGCTGAGAGCATTCACCGCAAACAGCGCACGAAAGCGCCACATCCCCAGCGCTGGTCGGGGTTTGGAGGGGCTCCCTCCTGCTCACGCCTGTCACTGCAGCCAGCGCCCCCCCCCCTCCGGCCCTCCTGCCGGATTGCCAGCAGTGGCGGCTGCTGCTGCATCCTCACACTAATTTATTAGATTTGTATCCCGCCTTTTTCCTTTTCAAAGGACTTGGAGTGGCTTGCATCGTTCTCCACAACAACAGCCCTGCGAGGTAGGCTGGGCTGAGAGTCTGTGATGGCCCAAGCTGGCTGCATGGCTGTGCAGGGACTTGAACCCAGGTCGCCTGAGTCCCAGACCCACGCTCTTACCCACTGGCTCTCTTGTCTCTGCTGCATGCTCAGAGAGGAGAGGCGGCGGCGGCCCAGGGAAAAGCCCCACGGTCTGGAGGCTCCAGGGCTCTGCTGTGACCCCTAAGGGGGCAGGGGCCCAGTGATGCTGCCCTCCCCCTGGTGCTGGCTGCACCCTCCGCTCTGCAGGACACGCTTTCCTAGAAAGACCTCCGACCGCTTGAATGCAAGTCCAAAACTGGGACAGGCTAAATCGTGTTTCTCTGCCTCCTGGACGGCGCTGGAGCCATAGGGCAGGTGGGGAGAGTGGGAGCTGCACACGGGGACCAGCTCGAGCGCCACGCACCGTCTGTCCTCCATGGTAAAGGCAACTGGAGGCTTCCGGGCAAAGAAGCCCCCGGCTCGGCCCGTTCTTGGCCCTCGGTGGCCCCCAAAGGCCGCGGAGGATCCGAGGGGCCCCGTGCACCAGACGCGGCGGCCCCACTGCTTCAGCCCGCCGCGTGAAACCAAAAGAGCTGTCCAGCGCTGGTCCAGGCTGCCTGGATTTCTGACTGGGGGCAGCTGCTCGCTCCGAGCTGAAGACTGGCATCGCCCCAGCATGGAGGTAGGAACAAGGTGATCACACGGGAAGGCAGGACGTCGGCTGACGGGGACATGGAAAAACCAGTTGCTGCGGGAGGAGGTGGCTGGTTAGCCTGACGTATTCTTGAGAACATCAGAGTGGGGTTTTTCACTGGAGTGGAGAGATAAATCCAGGAGGGAATTCCTGGATAATTCCAGGACACAGAATATGCATCCCAGGGATTCCACCGCCTCCCCCCCCCCCCACGCACACACCCCAATTCTGAAGTCCTGTATTTCTTTCTAGCATGCTTTCTGGATCATGGCTCAGCAGAATCCATTTTGGGCTTGGATTCCAAATGCATAATTTTGGAATGGCCCCAGGAACAGCTAATTTAAGAAGAGTTCCTCAACTTTTCTGAATCTGTGAAATGGTGCAATTTCCACATAACAGTGGCCGTCTTGCATCCCACTTACTGAATTTCAGAGCTTTCCTTTAATTTGGGCATTTCTTTCGCCACCCTAACCAGTTCCAAAAGGCAGCAATGGGGAAAAACAGGATGGGGTGACAGTGCAGAAGGGGTACCATGCTGTTGTTTTTAGTGGTAACAACTTGTGTGGAGAATTTGTTCCATCCTGACATTCTGAAATCCATATTTCCAGCTAGAACTTAACCAGAATGGAATCCACTGGATGCCAAAATCCCAGAACAATTGCTGAAGGGAACAGTTCCATTCCCTTCTTGCCTGTCCCAAGACATTTTGGTGCCTGACACCGAGAAACAGACATGTTGTTTCCTGCTTCCACCCCACTGGTGCTAAAACTACAAAAGACGACAATAAATGAACGTTAGCTTCTCTTTATTGCTCCACCAAATTTACTGCCTTTGGTGCTGCTGGAGAACAAAGCTGCCAATCACATACTGGTCTTGTGGAGACGTATGGCGTGGCCACACTTGGAATTCTGGGTACAAAAGGGATGCTACGGAGTTGGGAAAAGTGCAGGAAGGGGCAACCAAAATGATCAGGGGGCGGGAGCAACTCCCCTGTGAAGAAAAGGCTGCAACATCTGCAACTGTTTAACTTAGGGAAAAGGGAGTGTGGAGAGTTGTGACAGAGGTGTGCAAAAATTTGCATGGTGTGGAGAAAGTGAATAGGGACCCCCCACCCCCCCATCATGCCAGAATCCAAAGGGGGTGTCTCTGGAAGCTGCTTAGTTGGAGATTCAGGACAGAGTACAAGTGAAGCCCTTGATGTGGAGATGGTCACCATTTTGGGAGGTCTTAAAAGGAGCTAGAACGAATTCCTGGAGGCGAAGGCCATCCACGGCTAGCAGTCCCGATGGCCGTGTGCTACCTCCGGTGTCAGAGGCAGGGTGCCTGGGTCCTCCAGCTGCTGGGGAACATGGGAAGGACTGGGCTGCTGCTTGTGGGTTTCCCATGGGCAACCGGTGGGCCGTGGTGTGGGCAGAATGCCCCTGAGATGCCCCAGGGTGCGCACCAGCACCTGAAGTCTGTTCACAGGCAGTCCTGCCCTAATGTCTGTCCACAGCTGAGCTTTTCCCCACCAGAGATGTGGAAGTCCCATGAAAGAACCGTAAGAGATGTGAAGACATCAGACCAGCCTCCCCTCAGCTTTACTGGCTTTGAAGTCCTTCTGGGGCCAATTCAGTTTGACTCGGAGGGCTTCCGTGCCTCATGGAACTGGCCCTTTAGCACTGCCTGTCCTGATGCTCGGCTCGTCTTGGGAAGGTATTCTGCGGGGGTCACTCAGCCAGAGTGGCACAGGTGGGGATGCGTGAGGAGCCCTGAAACGGCGTGCGGACACAGTATCTTCGGGAGCACTCTTGCCTGTTGTTCAAGATCTTCAACTGGTATCCTCCTATGAGTTCTTCTCCCCAAGGAGGTCCAGGGGCGAGGAAGGCCTTTTCCAGGTGGCATCCCAATTCCGGAACACTTGGCCGCTGGAGATGCTCCAGGTGCCTGCATCGCTGCGTTTCAGGTGCCCGGCAAAAGCTTTCTTTATCCGGCATACCTTTGCCATCATTGTGACTATTTACATCGGAGCACAGCTTTTGTTAATGCAAGTTTTATTTTAATGTAATTATTTTATTATAAATTGATTTTGCTTATTTATTACGATATTTAATTATATTATTTTATTAATGTTATGGGTTGATTCTATATTTCAGTGGCTGCCCATGCCATAAATTTGCTTCTGTTTGGATTCAAAAGGGGTTTACCAAGTGATTAAAAATTCTCCATATTTGCAATGGAAAGAACTCTGGCCAGCTGCCCCCTCCTTCACAATGCCCTTGCATCCCAGTCTCGGGGCTCCCCCAATAATTCGGCCAGCAGCTCAGGCCAAGGGTGAATGGGTGGGCAAGCAGGCCGGTGTGGGCGGCGAGCAAGCGGCCACCAAGGGAAGGAGAGGCCAGCCAGCGTTGCTCCGACAGGCTTGGGGCGCATCCCTGGTGTTGTCCACCATGTCAGGGCTGAACGGAGGTTGCCCCCTCTTTTTTCCATCTCTACCTGCCCACATCTCTGCCGGGGAGGGACAAGCACACCGGGAGAATAGTGGTGACACGGGATTTGGCTGGAGCAGAGAGCTGAAACAGCCATTTCGGGTCATTTTTATAAGAATTTCCCAAAAGGCGTGCACTTCGTCATCTCTTGGACAGGAAGGAGTTGACGTTTGTCAATATCAAATGCAGGAGAAAGCAAAACTGACTGATTTCAATGTCCTGACATGGACTGCGGCCATGAGAAAGAGGAGTGAGGGGCTTTCTTGTTCCCTGCCCCCAATTAAAGAGAAGCCCCGACAGGAACCTTCATTATGGTCTTTCAGTGCCAGGCGAAGCATTTTCTATTCACCAAGGCACCTAACATCTGCATTTTAGTCCCTGCGGTTTGGTTTTTACCCCTGTACCTGCTGGCTTTAAACATATCTTTGCTCTTGTAGCAACACGTTTTTAAATTGCATTAGGCCAGTATGTGTTAGTCGGACTTTAAAAAAAGAAAATCTTTACTGGCTTTTAATTGCTTGTGGATTTACTGCATTTGCAAAGTACTCTCTTTAAAACACTGCACCAAATCTGCAAGCCACTCCGAGGCATGGTGGCAAGGAAGCACCGAAGAACCGTCAGCACCAACGCATCGCTCCTTTCTTCTCTCCCTCTCCCAGATCTGGTCCACCGGGTGCAGCAGATCACATTTCTCAACAGACCTCTGGCCTCCTGCGGAATCTGCCTTCCCCTCCCTGCACGGACCCAGCGCTTTCCTCACTCGGCACCTGCCAAGCAGCCACTGCAGAAAAGGTCTAGGACCAGTGGGCAGCGAGGGAGGGCACTTCTGAACCGCCTCGCTGCTGCTCGCCCGCTCGATCCGGCAGCCTCTGACACACCTTCAGAGCGGAAGGCCGGAAGAGGGCGAAGGGGGACAAGAGTCGCCACAATGCTCATTTCTCTGTGCGGCT